TGGGGAGTTGTCAGACAACTGAAAATAATGAGCTCACTCGGCCGATTAATTTGGAATCATCAAGAAGAGAGAATTTGATAAACCTGTGTAAAGGATGAATAATTATTTTGAATACATAGAATGATCACAGCATTGAAGGATGCCATTTAACCCATCAGGTCTGCGTTGGTTGTCTGCAAGAGTAACTCAGCTTGTCCTACTCCCCCACTTTTCCTTCTTTACTTGCAAATCTTTCTCCTTCAGATGATTACCACATTTCCTTTTGAATGCCAAAACAGAATCTATCTCCATCACACTACACAGCAGCAGTTTGACAGGTAGGAATGCTGCCCAAAATGACGGCCCAGCTCTGGGTCAATGTGGAGTGGGAGTGTAATACAAATGAGTTATCTTCTAATTTAACTTGCTCTCAGAACTTCAGCAATGCTGACAAAGTTATATTAAATGTTCATATCTAGTTGTCTTTATAGTGCAATGGTTGGTCTGCTACTTGGAAACTAGCCTGTACTGCCAAGTGCCTTGCATGTCACATCAGAAACATTTAAATGTTATGTACATGGGGTGTGACTAGGCTTCTGCAATTAGTAAGTCTCTAGATGCTTGCCATTGCATCGGAATCAGAAAGTTCTGGGTTCAAGTGTCACTGCAAAGTCGCTCCATTGCAGTTTTAAGCAAGTGCTGCAATGTCACAGGTGTCACTTTTTAGTTCAGAACCTAAACGGAGGTCCTGTCTGCTCTGTTTGATGCATGTAGAAAAGTCTATGCCTCTGTTCTAAAGAAGAGCAGGACAGCTCTCACTGGTAACAAAAACAGAAATTGCTGGAAAAACTCAGCAGGTCTGTCAGCATCTGTGGAGAGAAATCAGAGTTAATGTTTCAGGTTCAGTGACTCCTCTTCAGAACTGGTTCTGGACCTGACAGGTTCTGCACCCGAGGCATTAACTCTGATTTCTCTCCACAGATGCTATCAGACCTGCTGAGTTTTTCTGGCAATTTCTATTTTTGTTTTTGTTTCTGATTTCTTGCATCTGCAGATCTTCTGGTTTTTAGTTCTCTCTAGTACCCTGGTCAATCTTTATTGCTCAACCAACATCATTAAGTCTAATAATCTGCTGATTATTTCATTGCTGTTTGTGAGAGCTGTGTAAATATGTTGGTGTTCCTACAGTGACTACACTCCTAAAGTATTTCATGGCCTGGGCCATTGCCAAACGCAACCTATAAATCTAAACCTCCCTTTCTCTTTCTTTCCCATTCTCACCCTCTCTCTTCCTACTGTTCTATCAACCCTATCACTTTTTTCACTTTCTTTCAGTCCAGGTAGCAGTTATAGGATCACTGAAGAATATTAGTATATGACTTTTGGATGAAAGGATCCTTTAAGATCAGTGCACTAGGCATCTACAATGTCTAGCTCAGTGCATCTCTCATATTATTAATTCTACCTATTCAATAGTCTCAGATCAGTATAGAGGTTAACATTGTATGAGGGTAGGATGTATCTCAGGTGACCTCCCACTATGATCGTGCTTTAAGTGAATTAGACATGAATGTGAAGAATACTGTTGAGTAAATTTGAAGCAGTCTAAGCAAAAGCTCTCGCCCGTGATCGCATCACAGTGTGGCACCCATTAATGGTGAAATATTAAACGAGTAAGACCATTAATGCTTTGCCAGCAGATCAAGATAACCATCATTTATACTTAATGCACAAATATCAACATCTTTCCTGCTTGTCACATACTGAGGCAGGGGTGGGGCAGTAGGAAGTAGTATTGTAGGAGGATTATTCAGTATGTTTCTGTATAAAGCTGTTTATTTGATCATATGGTGATGTAGGCCATCATCATGGCAGCATCACTTGGATCTCATTCTGTCCTTGTTGGTGAAACCCCTCCCCCCCTCAACAACAGGAATCTTACTAAGAGCTCAACAGGCAACTGTAATGCTGGATTAAGGCTCAGGCGAATGTAGTGATGTGCATGTAAATATCAGCCCCACTGTTTGCAACATTACCATTTAATGTGAGACTTTTGGATCTGTATTTTTGGATTTAATCATTTTGAAATAAAATTTGCAGGATTCTTTTTGATTTCAACACCCAAACTTAAAGGTTGTCTTAGTCCAGACTGAGAGGAATAACTTACCTTTGACTAGCAGTTTTAGCTGTAAAATAGTAAACTCACCTCAAGGCAAATTACTGTACCTTTCATTCAATTTTATTATAATTGTAGCATTGGTGTAAAACTCCTGGAAGAGAGGCCTGACTCCACTTGAATCATCAACTAGCTTCAAATTTATACTGCAGATACCAGTGCCAGCTACACAAAGTCAGTTTGATGCTATTGTATAAATGTAGCTGCAGAGTTATTAGTTGTTCTTGAGTTGGAACAGCTATTCTTGAGTTGGAACAACAGAATTTCTGATCGAAACTTGAGTAATTGGACATATTGACTATTTGTCCTTTTGGTGCCATTTGTTATTTTATGCCCAAAAATTATTTATTTCTGAAAATTACACAAAACATTACATAACAGTTTAAGTTTGACATACATGCAGAGCAATACAATTCCATTCCATTCAAAACAATATGTGGCACTCTGAGGTGCCTCACTATATTTACAATTCTAGGGAACATATACAATATCAATTTCATGTCAAACATGCAGCCTGAGGGAGTTTTACAGCTGTTGGTTTGAAGGAAATTAGGTAGTTGCCTTTCCCCTGTAAATCCCAATAAAGGCATACTCTTTTCATACCTTCAAACATGGACTGCATTCAGTATATAATGTCCTGGAAATGAATTTTATTCATTAAATTGGACATTAACAAGATGGCTAAAATGGCTGCCAATTGTCATATGACTTGTACTTGATCAATATAAAATTTCAACATTCTCAGTTAATGTGTGAATAAATAATCCTCTTAAATTCACGAAGTTCTGCTATTATTTTGTGAGCAAACAGCATGCTGAAAATCCCATAAATCTTCCTTTGAAAAAGCACACTGTTTAGACATAGTAAGGGGGGGAATGGTGCAAGGGTTTCAGTGCTTTCCTGGTCTTGTCTATGACATCATATTGAGCCTTCATAGCTGTTGCTTCAAACTTTAGTTATCCCTTACCAATCACCTAGTCCTAGACCTTGGGACTGTGCCAGTATGCAACAATCAGTCCTCAGCTGCTCTTTGCATTGAAAGAGCAACAGTTTGGGAAGAATAAAGAGTGTATTTCACTGATTTGTTGGTGTTCCAGTAGCAATTGGTGTTCATCCCAGTTTCCGAGAGCACAGAATCCACACTTATTGAATTGTTTGGGATAACCCTTGATAAACACCATATTTTCCAGGCCTTCAAAAGGAGATTCCAGGGGTTGGGCAGCAGTTTCTTTCATCTCCTGTTACAATACCTTACCATCAGGCACACTTACCAAATAGGCAAAGAAAATAATTTTGTGCAAGATAGAATTTCATACAGTTCATTTTATACACTAACAAAAACAGAAAGTACTGGAGAAACTCAGCAGGTTTAGTAGCATGAATGGAGATAGAAACATAATTAACATTTTGAACATTATGACTCTTCTGCAAAACCCGTCTTCTGCTCCAAAGAGTAGTCACATTGGACTTGAAATGCTAACTGTTTCTCTCTCTTGCCAGATGCTGACAAACATACCCAGCTTCTTCAGTACTTTCTATTCTTATTTCAGATTACCAACATCCACAACGCTCTACTTTTGTTTTTTCCAATGCCAACTACATGTCTGTTAGCTTTTTTAAAAATATGAACATTCCTACTGTACTCTACAAAATACAGTTTAGTGTATTTCTTGCAGCTTAATGGTCATTAAGTTATCTTCATTGTTGAAAATATCACTAATTTTGAAGATATTTTATCATTATTAAATATAATGTTTTGAATTTGAGAGACGTCATCAGACGTAATTTGTGAGTTTATATTAGTATTGAAATAGTTATTTCGGTCAATAAATGACATTCTTGAACAGAGGTGCGGTTTATTTACTTATCTCCTCCCATATTTTATTTTCTTACTCTATCCTAAGACAGCGTCAGAATTTACATTAATCCAAGATCAAAGTACTGCGGGAGCTAGAGTCTGAAATAGAGACAGAAAATACTGGAAACACAGTTTTCAGCAATTCAGGCGAGATCTGTGGAGAGAAAATAGAGCGAACGCTTGAGGTCATCCATGTAAAAGATACCTGTTCCTCTTTGCACAGATATTGTAAAATATATTGGTTGTTTCATGTACTCTCTGTGCTTCAGAATATACATCCTTTCTGTTTCAGTGAGTTGTCAAATTGCAAAAATTTTGTGGTGGTGCTCGGTTTCAAATATTATGAAAACAATTATTGACCACGTATCATCGCAGTAATCAGAAAACATTAATACCGTAATTTGCAGCAATATTTATCTCATACAGCATAAGTGTTTTTTTTAAATAGTATTTTCAATCGAAAGAGGGGATCGTTTTGTGCACAGTAGTCGGAGCAGTGAGAAATAAATAACTCAACATTTTGTAAGTTGAGTAGATTTGTAATGGTAATTAGAATGAAAGAAACAAGGGAAAAACAGAGAAAAGTAAACCGGAAAATAACGTTAGGATGGAAGAAGAGAAAGTACAAAAGTGCACAGATAAAACAATTGTAAATAAAATAAGTTAATTACTATAGGCTTTCAATTTGATCATAATTGATTCAAAGATGTCTATTTTGCAACAAATAAGTCATTTGCACGTTACCTTACCACCTGAGATGCAAAGAGGTTCGATAATAATGTCATTGAAACAAATAATCCCGCGGCTTTTGGTACACTGGGAATGTGAACAGCGGGATACGATGCTCACGGAGGTGAAGCCCTTCCTTCAGTCCGGACAAGTCTCATCTGGTTTCGGTGCCACCCCCTAGCCAGCGGGGCTGGGAGGACCGCTGTGGTCCTCCGAAGCTCGCTAGCCGATCCCAGCGTGCAGCGCGCTCGCCGTCAGCACGACAATTTCAAGATGGCAGCGTCGTCGGCCCGACCGAGTGTGAGCAGTGGTCGGGACCGCGGAGCGACGGCCAGCTGAACACCGTGACCTGACACGACGCACCCACCCACGGGGCACCCCCAGAGCCTTTCCCCGAGCCTCCCCAGCAACGCGGGCACCGCCGCAAACCGAGCGCTCATCCTCGGGCTGCGAACGATGTGGACAGCCGGGGCGGCCATTTGAGAATCTATAAACCGAGAACTGGCGCTCGGCTGGTTGGTGAAGGGAGGCGGGGTGGGCCTCCATCCTTCTCGCTGACAGTGATCAGCGGCCGCCCGCTTACCCCCGTTTCCTGGGAGGAGCCATTTCACCAGCCCCACTCCCTTCCCCCTCGTCCCTCCAACCCCTCCCTTCACCCCTTCCACTCCCCTTCTCCCCTGCCCCCTCTCCACCCGCAGGATGATGTGTTCGGCTCCGTCTCCTCACACAACCGGTGGCGGTGGCGCCGCCTCCTTCTCTTGCACCTCACACCCGGACCCCGGCTACCCGCCCTCCACCACTGCCTCCTCTTTCCTCGACACGGACTCGCTGATCTTCCCAGCTCCTGATCCCCGGATTGCTGCTTCTGGAGGAGGAGGGATGGAAGCCGCCGGGCGGGTCCAGCACCAGCTGCTGTCAGGGAAACTGCTCGGGAACAAGTACCGGCGGCTCTTCGCCGCCGCCCTGGACGCCCAGCACAGCAGGTAAAACAGCAGTGTCAGCCTGACTCTTGAACACCACGCCGGAGGTATGAGAAAAGGATACAAACACACGCGCGCGCGCACACACACAATAAAGGAAAAGAAAGCACACGGCACACGAGAAGCCCCACACAAATGACTTTCCCAAGCCGATTTTGCAATAAAACAAGTGTCTTGTGCACAATAGAAACATGAAAATAATTGCAATGATGCAACGTGCATCAGAATGTGCAGATCCGATCGGATTTGTATCGGATGTTTCTTGTATCAATTAACCGGTGGACCGGATGGATTAGTGGGAAGGTGGTGTTAAAGCCTGTCAAGCTTTCTAACCACCGGGCCGGTTTTGCATCGTGAGCATGGCATGAATGTTTTTTTTTGTTTTATGTTGACACAGGCCCAGCGCACTGTACTCATATGTCTGCTTGGCTGACAAAATGCTTGAACTCTTTGCCGAATCCTATCGTGATAGAGGCAGGGGTTACCCTAGCTCGGAGTGAGTGTAGATAGGCTTGCTTACTCGGGGTGTCTGGCACCTTTGCCTCTGCACACGGATGTGATATTGCAGGGAAATATGGGGCGTTGTCTTGGGGGTTCAGCCACTGATACTAAGTTTCTTCGTTACTGTTGGGCCCATGTTGCGGGGTTCGGATGAGGGGGTTGTAAAGGAGGTTATTCAAAACGTCTGGAGCAAGCAGATTGTATGTTTTATTTATCTTTCCGTTGATAAGTTCCGTTTTGGTTTGTACTGATAGAAAAGGTATTAAATGAGTGATTTCGCATGAAAATCCTTAGATGACAGTAGCTGAGAAACGCGTGAAAAGTGGCTGTCGGGATAGTACAATTTTCAGTCTAGGCCCTTCGCTTTCAGTATGTTTCAGAACAAATGAGTCGTGAGCTACCTCACCTTTTGAAGCAACCGTAGATGTTGACAGATATTTATAAAAACAGCAAATTCTGATCTCCTTTTGGTTCGGCTAAGACCACTTGCATTTTGCATTTTACAATAGATTTCTCTTTTCTCTGACCGCCAGATTTCACTTAACACAATGGGACAGAGAAGATTTCATGATGTTGTGAAATTGTTCGGTTAATCACGTGCGTTATTGGAAACGAAACCTATGGTGCAGGACAATGAAACGGGGGAATCAGGGTTTCGTTTAATCCTTGATCGAATTAACAGTACATCATGTGTCGTGAATAATGTCGTTAATATAAGGCAATTTACATTTGTGTACTGCACTTGCTATGACGGGCCATTTTATAATTTGCAATATGATGTCGTACGCACCGTACGTGAATTACCTAATCCATATGGATGTTGTAGGGTGGAGCTTTGTTTTTCTCCGATGATTCGATTGCAAATCAGCAGTAAACGCAACACAAGGAATGCCCAGATCTTTCTGCATCGAGATAGCATTGTTTTACTCAAGAGTAACAATGAGTGGAAATATGCTAGACCAAAACGTCTTGATTAATGAGGAAGTTTGTTTATAGGGGTGTAGGAATGAGTGTATTTAGTAGGGTTACAGCAATCTGGGAGTATGCAACTGACAAAAAATGTAATAACCTTCATGCAAGACATTAATATTAATTGTGATAATCAGATTAAAGCTACATCTTGTGTGTTGTTTCTTTTTATGGATCTGAATGATTGTAGGTTAAAGTTCTGTGGTGGAGAGGACCATAGGGATGTTAGATTGTTAGGACAAAATAATTATTGGATGTTATTTAAAGGTGTTTTGTTAGAGGTGTTTGAGCTGCTAAGTGTTGAAACTCTGTACATTGTGTTGTGGGTATATTGGTTACATCACCAAGTTGTGTCCTGTATTTTAGTCTGTTTAAAACAAAGTCACAAATTTTGAATATTAAATATTGGAGTGCATTTGATAAGTGAAAAACCCAAATTCTGTTTGTGAAATGTATTCTTTTTCACAATGAATTCGGTTTAAATAGCAAGTTAACTTTAACTTGTGATTAAAAATGGGATATGGTGAAAATATCAAAGCCAATATCAGATGACTAGTCTGTATTGATGCATTGTTTTTCTACAAAATATTTAAGTCCTTGTTATTAATATTGTTCTGTAATAGAATAACATCAGTTGCTCAGTTCTTGAATGGCTACTGTTAACATGTGAACCTTATTAGGGTTCCTGTTTACTGCTTTGCTGCTTGCTTAGCATGTTTGCCACCAAGTTATTAAAATAAATCTATGGTATTATTATGCCAATAAAAAGCAGATGAAATGTTCTACAATGCAGTGTATCAAATTGAAATAACACTTTTGCGTTATAAACTTGTCACACTTGTAGGATTTGCAAAACAAACTTAGTCTTTGCAGTATCTGTTTCATTTACCAGTGTTTAACAGCATTCCAAATAGAGTTCTGTAATTTGAATTAAGGTATTATAAAGTTCTTTTACTCATTGATTTTAAATTATTCACATGCGTAAAAGGTTGTAATAACATCTGTTATTTTATGTAATTGTACTCCTGAGATTTCATCTGAAGAATTTCTACAGGTTGACTCATTAATTAATTACCAATTTAGATGATTGCAGATTACGCAGAATTAATGAGCATAACTGACTAGTTGTCGTGCTATGTGATAAAGTCACTTTGTAAACCCTGGTGAGCAGGGTCATAGAAATTTAGAAAATAGGAGTAGACCATTTGACCCTTTAAGCTCCCATTGCCATTCAGTATGATCATACTGATCATTCACCTCTGTGCACTGTTCCTGCTTTCCTGTCCATATTCTTTGATCCATTTAGCTCCAAGACTCCTTGAAAGATTCCTTGTGTTTTGGGTTAAGAGCAGAATCTTAAGACATATCTCAACACCTGAAGTATTCTGGATTTTATTTTTACAAAACAAAAGCTGTTAAACCATACTACAAGTACTAGTTAACTATATCCAAACATAGCTTACATCAATCAAATTTCTTGTCAGAGTCATAAGATGGAGCAAATTTACTAAATTATTTTAATGTTAAAATAAGTAATGGGTTGGAGATGACTTGATACAAATAAGTGTTCTTCCCATTAATTTTGATGCTTAGGCAGAGAGTGGTACAGCCCATGTAAAAATTCTTATGATGAGTTGATGATCAAGGGAAGTTATTTGGGTGGAACTGAGAAATAAGAAAGAATAATGGCCTTATTGGGATTGTACTATAGACCCCTCAATAGTCAGTGGGAAATTGCGAAGCAAGTTTATAAGGAGATCTCCATTATCTGTAGGAATAATAGAGTGTAATGGTAGGAGGTTTTAACGTTCCAAACATAGACTGGGATTGCCATAGAGTTAAGGGTTTGGATGGAGAGCAATTTAAGTGTGTACAAGAAAATTTTCTGATTCCATATGTGAATATACCTACTAGAGAAGGAGCAAAGCCTGACCTTCTCTTGGGAAATGAGGCAGGGCAAGTGACTGACGTGTCAGTGGGGAGCCCTTTAGGGCTAGTGATAATAATTCTATTAGTTTTAAAATAGTGATGGAAAAGGATAGACCGGATCTAAAAGTTAAAGTTCTAAATTGGAGGAAGGCCAACTTTGCTGGTATTAGGCAAGAATTTTCAAAAGTTGATTGGGAGCAGATATTTGCAGGTAGAGGGATGGCTGAAAAGTGGGAAGCCTTCAACAATGAGATAACAAGAGTTCAGAGACAGTATGTTCCTGTTGGGACAAGGCTGGTAGGTGTGGGGAATAGGGTAGGATGGGAGAAATTGAGTTTTGGTCAAGAAAAAGAAGGAAGCATATGTCAGGTATAGACAGCAGGGATCCAGTGAATCCCTAGAAGAGTATAAAGGCAGTAGGAAATACTTAAGAGGGAAACCAGGAGAGCAAGAAGGTGACATGAGATAATTTTGGCAAATACGGTTAAATAGAATCCAAAAGTATTCTACAAATACATTGAAGGGCAAAAGAGTAACTAGGGAGAGAATAGGGCCCCTTAAAAATCAACAAGGCTGCCTGTGTGTGGAACTGCAAGAGGTGGGGGTGATAATGAGTATTTTGCATCAGTGTTTACAGTGGAAAAGGATATGGAAGCTAGAGAACTTGGGGAAATAAATAGCGGTCTTGAAAAATGTGCATATTACAGAGGAGGTGGTGCTGAACATCTTAAAATGCATAAAGATGGATAAATCCCCAGGACCTGATCAGATGTACCTGAGAACTTTGTGGGAAGTGAAGGAAATGATTGCTGGGCCCTTTGCTGAGATATTTGTATCATCAATAGCCACAGGTGAGGTGCCAGAAGACTGAAGATTGGCTAACATAGTGCCAGTATTGAAGAAATGTGATAAGGAAATGCCAGGGCACTATAGACCAATGAGCCTGACATCAGTGGTGGGCAAGTTGTTGCAGCGTATTCTGAGGGGCAGGTTTTACATATACTTGGAAAGGCAAGAACTGATTAGGGATAATCAACATGGCTTTGTGCATGGGAAATAGTGTTTTACTAACTTGATTGAATTTTTAGAAAAAGTAACAAAGAGGATTGATGAGGGTAGAGCAGTGTACATTATCTATTTGGACTGCAGTATGGTGTTTTACAAGGGTCTGCTTGATAGATTGGTTAACAATGTTAGATCGCGTGGAATACAGGGAGAACTAGCCATTTGGATACAGAACTGGCTTGAAGGTAGGTGACAGGGTGGTGATGGAGGGTTGCTTTTCAGACTGGAGGCCTCTACCAGCGGTGTGCCACAAGGATCGGTGCTGGGTCCATTTTTTTTGTCATTTACATAAATGATTTGGATGTGTACATATGAGGTATAGTTAGTAAGTTTGCAGATGACACCAAAATTGGTGTAGCAGACAGTGACGAAGGTTACCTCAGTACAATGGGATCTTGATTAGATGGGCCAGTGGGCTGAGGAGTGGACATTAAGTTTAATTTAGACAAATGTGAGGTGCTGCATTTTGCAGAGGCAAGTCAGGCAGGACTTGTACACTTAATGGTAAGGTCCTGGGGAGTGCTGCTGAACACAAAGAC